CTCCATGTTATTGTATCTATGTCCTTTTTGGCAACTTAAAATATGTTTACAGGACTATTGTTATATTTGTTGCAATTCCTGCTGTCCACTTGGCCAGATTACTTTTTTTAAAAAGACATTTTTAATGTCAACAAGATTTTTTACCTTATATATAAGCCACTGCAAAAACACTGATTGCAGCTTTTACCTTGTGATAGGAATGTCGTTTGTGGCTCAAGATGACTTGATATAATTAATCAGGGACACAGTTGACATATGTTTCACATATTATAGGCCAACAAGTTATTTAAAGCAGATATAATACAAACAATTACTTTTTGGCAAACAATCACTCAGGCCTACCGATAGAAGACCTGGCCCCTACTTGAAGGTAACAACTCTAACATTTAAATGTCTTAAACCATTTAAAGATGAAACTACATTTGTATTAAGACAGAATCTGAATTGATGCAGTAACAAATCAAGTTTACAATAGCAGCATTTAGTCAAAATCATAATTTTTTATTTCCTGGAGTCTAACGTAAAAAATGTATTCTGATGTGGAGACAAGTGTCATGCCAGCTTTAATAACTTGTACGTTTGGATTATTTTAGGTGGCTCACTACTGCCCTCTATGTGCCATTTTATGTGAGTTCTTAAGTCCTTAAAACTCTGCAATGGAGCTAGTGACAGCAATATTATCGCAAATATCAGACACAATGTCTGCTTTTATGGGAAACAGGCCACGTTTGAAAGTGCAGGATTTATATTTAAATCAGTTCTTACATAATGACAAAAATAACAAGCACCTGTTCCCTGGTCAAAAAGAGGAATGTGGAAACTGGGTGGAGCCATGTGATCAAATCTGTGCTCAAAGAAGTCAAAGGAGAGACCAAATCAGTATAGTGATTACAAAGGCATGAAGTCTTAAACATTTCTTCTGTTAAAAACCTCCTTGGAGGATGGAGATGATCTGCTGTAAAGACCCCTGAAGGAAGCAGCTAAACAGAAAAAGAAGGGACCGGCTATTTTTCAATGTTCATATTTATTATTGACAAATCAGCCCTGGTTGAAGGGATATTTCATAGTTTTAATTAAATTTTTGGAAGCAAGTTTAGTCAAATAATAGCAAAAGTAAAAACATTTCTTCCAGCAGAAACAAACAAAATAGATGAATTCCTTACAAACGTCCAAACGGACAGTTTTTAAGTTATTTATTAGTTCAGGGCAAATATCGGGAAAGAATTGCATTAAAATAAAACGAGGTAACCTTTGAGCTT